TGTCAGAGCTACACCCACCATGCATGCCTGTGTCATAGCCACCGGGCATTCTATACCCACGTTCCCTATGATATTGTTCATGTAAACCCATTCTTGTGGCCATGTCCAGGTCATTATTATATTGTTCTTCTAGGTCATTATTATATTGCTCTTCTGGATCATTCCTACTTGATGGCGTATATGAACTAGTTATCTCCTCATTCCTCCGATGTTTGGCAATTTTTTACTTTTGTTATCCTTAAGAAATGCCGCCATCTGTTTTTTTACATTACTAAGGATACTACTGCATGCAGAAACATCTCCCTTAACCCCTGCCAAGTGTTGCTTGAACCTATGTACGTCACTACGTATCACTCTTTGACAGTAATTACAAATAATTTTGTCTTTTTTATTGGGATCAAGTCTGAGCCCATGTTGCCATGTAGTGTCTTCTGCAGATCTTGACAAGATTCAACTGTTTTAATATGTAAAAAGTTAAAAATTAACTTGACAGTTCAACAAGAAAAATAATCACCATGTGTAGTGATAATATGTTGTGGGTAGTTCATGTAGTTATATTTGTTGTTATTTGTTATTGTAAAATACTTCTATTGACAATAATATTTTCGTATATATCAACTACAAACATACTGGATAATATAATATAAAATGCAAGCTCCAAACATGGCTACAACTCAATTATCAAGAACATACATTTTTTGTATTAAAAATTTAATAATAAAATTGAAAAATGCAAGATAATATAATTGTCATACATGCCACGATTTTTTTACAATGATATTCATTTTAATTTCTTACGATAATACCATTTAGCAACATGTATTTTTTGCGTTCAAAATTTTAAAAATTGAAAATACATTTTTAATGCAAAACTACATTAAAAATATAATACAGTTTTGCATTAGAAATATAATAACATGTATGTTTTTGCATAAATATTCTATCAACATACAATTTTTTCAACAAAAACTTTAGCAATAAAAATTAAAAATATGGTTTAATACCTCATGATAATCAAAACCTGGTCACTATTTTCACATCTTTTTGGAAAATCACGATTTTTCAAAAAAAATCGATCATGTACTAAAAAAAAAAACAAATAAAAACAATTCTTCACAGAGCCACATAACATCAGTCATTCCAACTCAAAAATGCATTAACAACAAATTAAAAAAATACAGTTTTGCATTAAAAATATAATAACATGCATTTTTTTGTATAAATAATATATCAAAATACAACTTTTTCAACAAAAGCTTTAACAATAAAAATTAAAACTATGGTTTAATACCTCATGATAATCAAAACCTTGTCACTATTTTCACATCTTTTCAAAAAATCACGATTTTTCAAAAAAAATCGATCATGTATTAAAAAAAAAAACCAAAAAAAGAAAAAAACAATTCTTCACAGAGCCACCTACTATCAGTCATTCGAACTCAAAAATGCATTAACAACAAATTAAAAAAATACAGTTTTGCATTAAAAATATAATAACATGCCTTTTTTTGCATAAATAATCTATCAACATACAATTTTTTCAACAAAGACTTTAACAATAAAAATTAAAAATATGGTTTAATACCTCATGATAATTAAAACCTAGTTACGATTTTCACATCTTTTAGGAAAATCATCATTTTTCAAAAAATGTGATCATGGATAAAAAAAAAAAAAGTACAGCAAACTCAAACAATAAAAATTAAAAATATGGTTTAATACCTCATGATAATCAAAACCTTGTCTTTTCAGAAAATCACAAATTTTCAAAAAATTTGATCATGGATTACAAAAAGAAAAAAAAAAAAATCTGTTCTTCACAGAGCCACCTTACATCAGCCATTTCAACTCAAAAATCCACCTCCAAACGAATAAATTACATCCAATTGAGTACATGTTTTGATGAACAACACTATAAAGAATCTAAACCCTAAATTATGAACACATTATCATCAATAAATCAAATCAAATCCATTAAATTGAGTAAAAAAAAAAAAACGCAGTTCTTCACAGACAACCGTCATTGAATCTAAAAAATGAAGCTCAAATTGAATAAATCAGATCAAATTGAATATATCTGATTATAAACAAGACTACAACGATTAAAAACCCTAGAAATTTAACACATTATTTGTAATATATCGTGAACAATAGATCAAAAGGCGGAAAAAAAAAAAAATAGAAATTTTTTTTTTCACAGACATCACTGTGTTCTTTTAAAAACTCAGGCTGTAATTGAGTAAATTAAATAAAATTGAATATGGTAAATTATAAAAGACACGATAAAGATTTAAAACCCTACAAATTTAACTGATTATTTTCAAAATATGGACTGAAATTGATCAAATGGCGGGAAAAAAAAAAAACGCAGAGTTCTTACCTGGTTTCGTGAACCCGTGACTTCAATCTCCAAATTAATCTGTTTTTCTCAAAGATAATCACAAATTCGTAACAGAAATTTCTAATGAACACATTTACGATCAATATGCCTCAAACTTTTCATAATTTCATGCCCTATTTGGCATGAAACAAAATGAAAAGCGGAAACCCTAAAACCCGCACCTTTCATGATCCAAAAACATGAAATTTTTCCATCATTTAATGCATGAAAAGGCTGAAAAAAGCTGTATAAAGCCTGAATATTCGATCACATGGCAAAAAAAAAAAAAATGATAAAAAAAGACAAAATTTGAAGAAACCCGTAAAGAACACTGTGCAGCCCGTGTTTTTCACGGTCGGTACAGTGAATCGCTGATTCACTGTACAGAATCGCTCGGTTCTCTCTGGAATCGGGCGATTCCGTCTAAAATGCCAGAACCGACATGGCCTGTGCCGATTCCTGAGTCGAACTGGGCGAGTCCGGCTCGACTCAGCGTTTTTCTAAACACTGGTTATCACTAATGCTATTTGCTTTGACTTCTTAAGGCCAAATCCCCCCTTGGGCCATATAATAGTTTATCCCTTCTTGAGCTAATTTTTGTTCCCCCTTGGACATATAATAAATTAAAGTATTATTTTCAAAATTTGTATGTATTTTATTAATTTTTACATTGATAGCCAAATCTTTTATTTTATTTATTAATTTTTACATTATAAATCATGTAATGTACTATTTTTCTTACAGTTGTCAATAATACATTTTAAATTAGATAATATTATAAAATATTTTTAATTTGTTATTATTTATCTAATAAAATAATTATAAAATGTAAACTAATAATTATAATTTCAGTATATAATATTATAATTAGTTAGGTTGTAATAATTTTGGATTATAGTTAGTTAGGCTGTAATAATTTGGGTTTTTTTAGCAGATTAGGGTTTTTCGCCAAAACGAGATTTTAATGGCCATTCTTTCATTGATTTAATCTACCCTTTATTATAGTCCATGTATAATTACATATTTTATCCATGATAATTCAATGATTTTTCTTTTATGTGATGCAAATTTAATACTGAAGTTTATACAGGGAAAGAACATCTCAATATTCACAAATTGATGAAAAAAATGAAAGTTAATAATGTAGTACCCTCATTTTTTATTGGATTCCTAAAAAACAACATTTATATTGAATTTTAATAATTTTTTCAGATTTTTTTGAAGCTTTAATCCGACCGATTCATTCAATTCTCGATCCGGTTCGTCGATTTGCCGATCCGGATCGGTTTTTTAGGTGCCCAATCCGGGTCACCGATTCACTTTTTAAACCATTGGTGATAACCATCATGCCTCTTTAGCATATGTGTTTAAAATTGCCTATTAATAGCTTATATTTACATTCTGTTTTCATTTAATGATGTTTGGGAATTATGCCAAATCGAAAGATGAGTCTTCAAATATGCTATATAAATAACTATGTAATTGGAAGATAAACACAAGTGTGAAAACACTCAGGCATCCGTGCACATGCACGTGTGGCACATATGGGAGTGGTGTGTGTCGCACGTGTGACGCGTATACATATGTGAAGGTGTTTTTTGGGCTAGAACCGGTGCACACGTGCACTCGTGCATGCACATATGGCATGTGTGGGAGGTGTGTTTGAGGCTAGAACCGATGCACACGTGCACAAGTGCATGTACGTATGGGACGTGTGGGAGTGTGTGTGGCGTTTTTGAGGCTAGAACCGGTGCACACGTGCATGCACGTGTGGGAGTGTGTGTGGCACGTGTGGGAGTGTGTACCTAGAACCGGTGCACACATGCACATGTGCACACGTGCATGCACATGTGGGAGTGGTGTGCGTACACACCTGTGAAGGTGTTTTGAGGCTAGAATCGGTGCACATGTGCACGAGTGCATGCACGTGGCACGTGTGGGAGGTGTTTTTGAGGCTAGAACCAGTGCACACGTGCATGAACATATGGCATGTGTGGGAGTGTGCGTAGCGTTTTTTAGGCTAGAACTGGTGCACACGTGCACGCGTGCATGCACGTGTGGGAGTGTGTGTGGCATGTGTGGGAGTGTGTACCTCTCGTGTCACACGTACACAGGTGTGGGAGTGTGTGGCATTTTTGAGGCTAGAACCGGTGCACACGTGGCACGTGTGGGAGTGGGTGTGATACGTGTGGGAGTATGTACCGTTTGTATCACACGTACACACATGTGGGAGTGCACGTGACGTGTACACACGCGTGAAAGTGTTTTTGAGGCTAGAATCGGGAGGGAACCGCTAGAACCGAAAAGAAATCGGATAAAATCGGACAGTTCCCGGTTTTGTGTTGAAACTGGTATGGGTGTTGCCGATTCTCAAGTCAAACCAAACGCGTCCGGTTCGACTTGCCGATTTTTAAATAATTGACGTGAACTATGCAATTGTTTCGGACCTTTTAAAGAAATCGCCCCTTAAAACTTTTTCCATAAAACGCTAATTGTTTGAAACAAATCGCCGATTAAACGTGCGATTCGGTAATTATGCTGCCGAGTTAAACGCGAGTTAGAATAGAAAGGGGTAGTTTCGTCATTTTTCATCTGATATAATCCATCCGCCTCTCCGGAAGCAGGCCTGTGGCAATTTGTATTTTATACAAATCAGTGGCACGAGGTAGAGAGGAGCTGCAGTTAGGGCATCAAAAATGATCATCCCTGTGCGCTGCTTCACCTGCGGCAAGGTTTCTCTTTCTCTCTATCTCTCTCCATTGTTTTTTTCAAATTCTCTCTCTCTACATTGTTTTTTTCGAATTCGTGGTATTAGTTGCTTCCTCTGCCAGAATCTCTCTCTTTCTCTCTCTAGTTTCATTGGATTCTTTTCCCATGTGTTATTTATTTGTATTTATTTGCAGATGTCTAATGTATCATAACAAGGATCTCTATTGGTTCTAACTTTTAAGTCGCCCTTTCCTTTATCAAAACCCGTTTTGGGACAAGCTTTAAGTTTGCTTGCTATAGGTTTACCTTAGGGTTTGGGGAGAAGCTTTTGGGGAGAAGCTTTTGGGGAGAAGCTTTTCTTTTGCTTGCTATTGGTTTACCTTTTGTTTTTTCCTGCAATAGTAATTACAATAACTTCTGGACCAATGTGAACTTTACTTTTACTGTATGGTTTTAGGATTGGTTCCATGTAATCACTAGAAGGTCACCATTCCTTGTTTTCATCAACTAATCAGTTTTGTTTTGTTTTATTTTATTTTATTTATTTATTATTGTAGTTTGATGGTTTTGATCTGGTTGGCTTTTGCAGGTGATTGGTAATAAATGGGATACATATCTGGACCTTCTACAGGCTGATTATACTGAAGGGTGTGACCACTTTGTTTCACTTGCTTTATTTCTCATAGAAGCTTTGCCATAATGCATACTTTATTTTTCATAGAAGCTTTGCCATAATGCATGCTTGAAATACCAACAAAATAAGTAGAACTTGTATAGAAATGATATATCTTCAGCTATCCATCATATTTTGTTCGAAGATGAAAATTCTTCAGATGTCAACTTCCGAACTGTGTATATACACGTGCATCCACGCCTGTTGTTATAATTTTTCTTTGTCCTTTTTTTTTTTATCTAGTAGACTGTTAATCTTTTTTTATTTTTTAATTGATACAGGAGCAATTTGTAAATTTGGGTGCTTGACATCCATGTGAATTATCTGGTCTCACTACTTTTTAGTTTTGAATTTTGAGATCAATCAATGGGGGAACTGAGAAAGCAAGCAGTCCAATGGCCAAAAATAAAATCAATTTGAGTAATAAAATATGGCCTTCAACTGTGGTCAGAGGCCATGTTTAGAGGAGACATTCCTCAAATCTTTTTGTAGAGAGAGTGATTTTACGAATCTAGCCTAGGTTTGGGAGAGTTAGAGTTCACTTCCTTCTTTTGGTGTGGAGATTCCCTAAAACTCTAGTTTGTGGATTGGAGTTTCCCCCCATGTAAGCTCGGGCCCTTCTTTCATTCTTGTGGGGCACTTCCCCATCCAAGATTAGCGCAACCAAATTCCTCACCTCTCTCTAACTCATTGAGTCGACCCTTCTGAGCCATTATTAACATAGCCCCCCTCCTTCCCAAACCCATCATCCACCCCTCTAAGCCTTTTAAACCTAATTTTGGCCCTAATCGTACATCACATATTACACTTGTGAAGGAGCCAAGCCCAGTTGGTCGTACATTAGTTTTTCTTACTGGACCTGCCAAATTTCTGCAAGTTTTAATTTCATCAGAACTTATAAACCTACCTCAGACTCTTTCTTTCTAAGACCACCCCAACATGTAACTCATGTTGGGAGCCAACCCCCCTTTTGTCCTACACCAGTTTTGTTATTGGAGCAAGTGGCTCCTTGGGAGCTTGCTTAGATTTCCATCAAGCCAGCCCAAATCGGTCGACCTTATAGCTCTCATCTCCAAAAGGATGAGATTTTCAAGCAATTAATGGATGAGGTATATACGAGGCATTGTGCCATTACTGCATTGCCTGAGAAAGTGACAATAAATTGCTTAGCTGCCACCTATCCTGATAGAAACAGAAGAAAGGTTGAGAATAGGTTAGAAAAAGAAAGCCTTGATAGTTCTTCTCCTCTTTAAGAGAAAAGTAGTTATGTCCTTTCCTCTAGAATTGACTCAACTCGCAGGGAAAACAAGCCAAACCTCCAAGTGGTGGACATCTTCAAGAGGTAGCAATGAAGATGTTCTAAAACTAGACCAAAAAACGAGACCAACTGGTGAACTTTAATGGTCAACCTCAAGAGCTCCAAACAATGCTTTTTGACTTCTCAGATTTGTTGCCTAATGAACCTACTAATTAATTGCTACATGTTGATAAGGATTGAAATTTTATAGAGTGTTTTCCTAAAATATTGGTGAACATGATCGAGGATTATTGTTTAGCAGACCCCGACAATCCTGTCTATGATGAATACCATGACCAGGATGAAGGCCGCTTGATAATAGACTTGGAATGGTGTGAATTCCTAGTTGATCGGCAGGAAGTCACACCACCATGGCCAGCTTAGCAAAATTCTTAGAGCAAAGATTTTATTCTCTTTTATCATGTGTAAAACCCTTTTTTTAAAGGTTTTCGAAGAACTTACAACCCTCACTCTCAGTGTTCAAAAAGTCGGCCGCTTGACTGTCTAGGCGGCTATTTAAAAATATGGGACTAATTAGGCGCCAGAACTAGGTGGCCGCCTAGGCGGTCGGGCAGCTGATTAGGCAGTCAATAAGGCAAAACTAGGTGCCCTCCTAGGCAGCGCAAAGCGCTTTGGTGGAAATTTTTTTTCGGGTGGGGGCGAAAAAGGACATTTTACCCCCTTAAAAGGGGGGATAAGGGTTTGGGGTGGTCATTCTTGCCCTCCAAAACAAATTTATTGAACTTTCGAGATTTGAAGATTTTTTGAGAGATCGAAATTTTTTTCAAAATCCTCGATATTAACGGATATTCAACCCCAATCTTTTTGAGGCTTATAGGGGTTGTAAAAGAGGAGATTTGGGATCCCAAACATTTCGGTTTGGCCCGAAATCGAGTCCACTTCAAGAAGGTTGGTATATTTCAATAGTTTTTATTAGGCTTTGTATTTCTTTTCCCTTAATGTCTAATGATGTTATTTGCTATTTGTATTTTTTCTTTGAGTTATGATTATTTTATTTACAATCTAAAGTTGTAAATGTTTTGGTTTGATCTATGCTTCCGGCAACTTAACAATATATTGCATACAAAACTTATTAAATAATAAAACAAACAATTTTATATATCATAAAATGGGGGGAGATGTCGGGGATCCAAATTTTCTTTTTTAAAAAATCACCGGTTTTTTGGCTTTGGGTACCTGCCTAGGCGGCCGCCTTATCGCCTAGGCGGCCCAGTCCCCCTCACTGCCTAGGCGGCTGCCTCCGCCTTATTGAACATTGCTCGTTCTTGATGAGATAGTCCACTCCAGTAACATGAAAGCAATCATGTTACTGAGGTGCGGAGATCTAAGACAGACCTGAACCTAGTTGTTGGACTGCAAACACCGATTGCCGCAGATCTATGTTTTGATTTTCGGACAACCCTTTGATGAAGACTAAAGGTTATCTATAACACTTTAATCAATCTCACAGCACATGCTAACAATGCCTAGAGTAATTAATTCAAGTTCCTTGTCAAGTGGAAAGGCAAACCAATGCTAGTATGGATGAGAAGCTCATTACCTATAAACTCCATGTCAAATTCTTTTGAGGGGAGGAATATGATGCATTCATCTTTTGAAGAGCATAATTTTTTACTTGGATGTCTTTTATGGGTGATGGAAAGATCATATATGAAATCTCTTCTAGATCTATGAACTTTTTCTCTATTTCCTAAGTATGCTATGTAAGTTTCAAATCATGTCGTGAGCCTGCAGAGAAATTTAGTTATGATTTTCAGTATTAATTAGATTTAGGTTTAATTTAATTCGGAAAGTTGGGAGTCCTTTTAAATTTTAGTGAATATTTATTTTTCCCCAAATTTGCAAATAGAAGATGTTTCCCATTAAAGTGTTCTAGAAACCTTTTTTTCCATTTTTTGTAAATGCCCAATTTCACTAGCATGAAGGACCTAGTCGCCTAATTTTGGAAGGAGCTGGAATTTAGGAAAGTGAAGAATTGCTTGAGTGCTAAAGTAATTGAAATAAAGGGGTATCCAACATTTAAGTATATCATTTAGGCCTGTGACAAAAAATAAAATCATTTAATGAAATTTACGTTTCTATTTTGGTGAGAGGCCGCATTTGGAGGATGAGATTCCTCAAATTTTTTTGTAGAGAGTTCATTTGAGCCCAGGTTTGGGAATGTCTTTCCCAAAGGTTAGAGTCCCTCTTCTACTTTGGGGGAGAGATTCCCCAAAACTCTACCTTGTGGATTGGAATTTGTCCCCATGTTACCCTTGCCCCTTTTACGTTGCCCTATGTGGGAACTCCAGACCCAAGATTCCCTCAACCAAATTCGTCACTTTTTCTGCCCCTTCAACCCTTCCCAATCCTTAATAGCATAGTCTGCCTCCTTCCCATATGATATATGTTTGTATAAAAACAATATGTTACCATATTTTCAAATGTAGTAAATTCTAAAATTGACACAAATATATTTATATAAACTACATATCTATGTAACTCGCACAACAGGGCGCCCAAGGTTCTGGGCGTCAGGCCGGCTGCCTAGGGGCTGCCTAGGGTTTTTGAAACCTTGTCAGAGATATTTTTTAGGCACTTGAAGCAATATTTTTTAGGCACCCAAACTTTTAACTCATTTAGAGGGAGAGTCAAAGAGAAGTTGGGGCAGCCCCAAAAGTTAGATAGAGAAAGAGGTGAGAGAGAGTGAAAAATGATGGATTCAGGTTTAAGTAGCAAAAGATGGATGGGCTTTGAAGATTGGGGAAACTGATACGCATGTCGTTTTCTATTACATGTTTGAGTGTTTAATACGTGAGCCCAAAAAGCCGGTACTTTCTGGCATGTCCGTACAGTGCCTTTACCTCTAAGTTTTAAGTTATTTATTAAAGTTTCCATATTCATAGCATCGAAATCATGTGGCTTAGGTGGTAGATTGCCCTTAATTTTGAAGAGCGCAAGGTGAAGGTTCAAACCCCATGTATAGCACTTTTAGCCGTATATATTACTTTATTTTTTTCTATATCAAATAACATTTATATGAATATATATTTGTAAGTCCCCAGTGCTACAAACTCTACTTGATGGACTTTACTGCTTTCAAACAAGAGATCCTTGGTTTGAGTTTGAGTGGGACTTAAACAAGGATCTCTTTTTACAAACAAGAGATCCTTGGTTTGAGTTTGCAGCTGGGGTGTTGACTGAGTGTCTGCCCATGTAAACATGTGTCTAAGTGTCACCATGCGATGCATAGAGAAAAATGAAGTGTCTATGTAACACCGAGCTCAATTTCTATATTGATTTACTTAGAATGCTTCTCTAACTGATTGTGAATCGTATTCCTTGATGGATATACAAATGATCATCTTATAATATATAACTAAAGCTATTTCTTAATTTTGGGAGGCCCTTGAAATTTACTGTTCGACCTTATTATTGCCTACCAAAGTTGATTGGCCATGTAATTGGTGTCTAGTCAAGCCTCAAGATTAACATTGGCCCAAGAACAATAATATGAGGTTTATATTCAAAGCAAAACACCCTCGCAGATTTTATAGGTTTTATTATTGCCCTATAGTTTATTTATCTTGAATCTTGTCAAAGCTACACTTGAGTTGTTAAGTTTCACTGCCCTTCTTTTCCCACTTGGATCTTGTCACACCTTGATAATTAAGCATTTGTTAATGGAAAGGCTGGTCAAGATTTTGTTTTCTACTTTGATAACTTTGCCTGGTTATGATAGCCTTCATGTTTGCATCTTAGGAGAATCATACGTTTTCAAAATAACAAGCTTAGCATCATTCTTCTCATAACTTTGTGATACACACACAGGAATCGGCTTGGGTAAAGACGGTAGAGGCTGGGTTTTCATACCCTAACATCTCAAGTTCCATTCCTATGTAACCTTGTCAAAAAAAAAAAACATTGTGTGACACACACACCATCTAGGCTTACTCGTACAGAAAGTTCATAGTGATTTATCGTTGAAGATTACTTCTGGGAACCTACAATTAGTGTACATGCACGCCCCAAGAGTTGTCCCATGAACCTTGGACTTTCTTAAATTTCCAGTGCCCTAAGATCCTTTCATGGTAAAATACCTGAAACAAAGATATTCTTAACTGATGCTAGAGCATCATTTCTGTTGTGACGGTAGAAATAGAAATTTTAATTGGCTTTGCCACTTTGGTGATTCATTCCTAATATATGTTTGACGATTTATTTTCTAGTTTTGTTTTTTGATAATGACGATTTATTTTCTGGTTGAGTAGGCAACACGATAGAGTTACTTTGTCTTGAGTCTGGTCAAACTCCTAACCCTCTAGGAGCCTGTTATTTCTAGGGGACAAGCAAAACATGGCAGTTATCTAAGGGTTCTACCTTCAGAGGAGATGTCAGGCAGTCCATCTGATGGGGTGTTCAAATTTTATTTTGATGGATATACGAGATGACATTTGAGACCAGCTCATTTTGGGGGAGTAATTTGGGACATCAGCATCACCGAAGCAATTGTAACTTACTCTGTGGGTCCTTTTGGGGAGGATTCCATATGGCTAGATGCGTAGGTATTCTTGGCATGTGTTTGCATTTGGAAGACATGTTTTTGGTTTGTGTTGATGGTGATTCCATCAATGTCATCAGAGGGTCTTGGGGTGAGTTTGATGCCCTTCACTGTTATGAAACATTTTGGGGATATTAGGAAGTTAGTAATGCCATCATTAGCAGACAGTTCAGCATATAACCAGATATGCAAGTGGTGTGGCAGATGGTTTGTGGCTTCAACACATTGAGGGTTAGAGAAGAAGACATGGAAGTGTGAAATTAATCCTATCCTTGGAGTGGAGGCATAAGATTTGTGTAATCGTTGTCTTTGCAGTTAGTAATGTTATAATCAGCAGGGAGTTCATCATATAACTAGATATGCAAGTGGTGTAGCCAGATGGTTTGTGGCTTCAACTCATTGGGGGTTAGAGAAGATGACATCGAAGTGTGGAGTTAATTATATACCTGGAGTGGGGGCATAGGATTTGTGTAATCGTTGTCTTTGTGTTACCTATGTTCTTGTTGTTTTAATACACCTGAATCACGCACCAATCCGCGTTCCATGATTAAGAGACTATTATAGCGCTTCCTCTAGATTAAGAACAGTTGTTTTATCTCTCGTGCTAATCCTTTCCGTTATATTCCACAGATTCACGAGGTGATTGCTCCTTCAAGATTTGATGTCTTTCTACATAATACTGATAGAAAAAAATTTCTGAATATGGTTCTCTTGGGCTGAAACACAAATTCTTTTCTTTAATTAATGCTAATACCCTGGTGGCAAGGATAAAATCCAATTGTGAAGCTATCGGCTCTGAATTTCTGATTCTTGCCACTGTGTGAGACTTGGGAATCAGTAGCTTGAAGGTGCCATTTATTTCCCTGGCATCATTCATGACCCACTGGGAAGTCTGAGCATTGCTCTGAGTTCCCTTTTTTATTACTTCCTTTCGGTGGAGGGTCTTAAAGCTGCATCGCTTCCTTCATGCTTAGAATGGAAACATGAAATTAGTCTGCTCACTACTTCATGATTATGTTATCTCTTCATAATTTTAGATAGAAACACGAAATTAGTCTGCCCCCTGCTTCATGAATATTAATATGTAATGTTGTTATTCCCTGTTGATTGCTGGGTTGCATAAAGATTATCCGAGACAAGTAGAACTTGTGAATCAATCGACATTGGTGTGAAAGGCTTATTTTAGGAATGAAATCCATAGCTACCGGAATTTCCCAACTAGGTGGCCATCCCGGTGGTCCCACACTTGTGGAGTTAAATCTTGGGTGGATCCTGCTCCTATCTGGGGGGGAACACGATCCAAGTACCTCGGGGATCTATTGATATTTGATTTAAATCACATGCATGTTAGATTGATCCTTTATAAGGAAACAAGTCTAAAATGCATTACCATTGGAAGGAAAGCAGCTATGCTGCAAAATCATATTCTATATATTTTTCAAAGAGAAAAGTGATACTTTTACCGCAAGCTCCCAAACTCGAGATCCCTGAAGTCCAGGGTGTACGAACAACAATTCCAACCATAGGGTGCTTCTAGCCTATCACGATCACATGCTCCCTATCCCAGTCCTACTGATGCCAGTCCGGATCCCAACAAGTATGATGAGATCTCCCTTGCACGGCCTTTGACTTGTCATTCCTTCTTCTCTGTTATGTTTCAAGAAATAAAAGTTTTAAAGCACCTGTATATCTTTTTTCTTTTTAGCCAGGAAACACCAAGTGTTCTGGGCCTGCTGGCCCTTTCCCAATGTATAACTGATTATTCCCAATGGATTAGGAGTCAACTGACATTGGCTTGAAAGACTCCTTTTAGGGATAAAGTCCCATCTCATCATTTCTGGCTTAGTAAAATCAACCCCTTTGTGTTTGGCTGCTTATCAATTATAAGAAAGAAAAATCAACACTTTGTGCCACCGCCATCCATATTCTTGTTTCCCCTGCTCTTTGCTCTAAGGTTTTGGTTCTCTAGCACAATCCTGACTTAGTTCTGAACTATTTCAGGTGTCCGTCTTATTTGTGATATCCTGCTAAATTATCACACAATGAAAATCGGCCTGCTGACTTCAGATTTGGTACCTTCAATATTTCATTGTGCTTTTGTTCAGCTCGGAGATGTTCTTTAAATTTTAATATTATGTTATCTTTATCAAAAAAAATATTATGTTATCTTTATCCTAGAATAGTGAAAATATGCTAGGCGAGTCAATCCAGAATCCTCATACCAGTCACGAGATTCATATAATTAGAATGGAGGTTCCATGTTTCGAGGAAGGATAAGTCTTTTATGATCTCCTTTGTGTCAATGAAGGCTAATTGTCTATGCAATAACTTTTTAAGTTTTGCATTGTTATTTCAAGAGTGCATTGTAAAGAAATTGATCAAAAGCAGCCATTATGTGACTTAGGCCCTGTCTGGACTCTGGATGCGTGTACATGTGCCGTCTTATACATGCACACTGTTTGATGCCAAGATTATTGCTGCTATTAGATACAGTGTGTGCCAATTTTCATGCACAAAATGCTTTGTATTGGTGATGGTACCATTCTTATAAAAGTCATTTTGCCGTCATTCCTGATAGGTTGCTGCACCATAAGCCCACAATGTAGGCGGCTTATTGGTGCATCCAGTTGGGGCCTAATTCAGTACTTGACCATAATTGTCTGCTGGATCTTCAATGTTTGATCAAATTCATGATTTGAAATCTTTATTAAACGTCAAAAGTGCTTTTTTGAATCTGTTGTGCAATTTACTTGTATAACATTTTTCCATCCATCCTGGTGCTGGCCATTTTCTGCCCTTCTAGGGCAGCATATTTTGTATACTGTAATACCTCTTTTACTCTAATGCAAAGTTAACAGATTAAAAAAATAAAAAGAAAAGGAATCCTCAAACTAAAAGCTGTTGTTAATATTTATCCCTACTCAAGATACAATGGCTATGGCATCTTGGAGCTGTCTTCTGCTGCAACCGCACCAGTGTGTCCGTGTGTCCATAGTTTAATGGCATTTGACTTGACCAATTATAAGCTAGAATCTACACGTGACTTATATTTGAGCGAGCATGTAGCTCAGCCTTGTTGTTCATAACTTACACACCCATGCAGACAGATACATACTTGCATGTAATCCAGGGTAGATATTATGAGTTGTGGTTGTATTTGTTGGAAATCACGTATTTTAGTCGATGCTTTGGATAGAACATATTGTAACAGTGCATCTAAGATGTATTAGGGAGTTCTCATGAGATAGAACATATACTTACATTGCGACGGTCTTAATATTTTTCAGGAAACCTTTTCTTTGTGTTCTCTGACAGTTAATCTTTCATGGAGCTTGGCTGAAAATATGAAAATGAATAGAAATTCATAACGATGTTTTGGTGGTGGTGGTTCTTTGATCCACAGTGATGCTCTTGATGCACTGGGCCTGGTTCGCTACTGCTGCAGGCGCATGCTGATGACTCATGTCGACCTCATTGAAAAGCTCTTGAACTACAACAGTAAGTCTCATTCCAATCGCCCCAATTTCTTGTTTTCTTAAATCTCATATTAAGTACTTCCTTTCTCCTAACGCTTTTATATATTGTTTGTTCTTTTTGTAGCTCTCGAGAAAAATGAAACCAGCTAAATGGGTGCTGTGCTGGGAAGAAAATGGCCATATAGAAACTTGAAGCTTATACAAGGCCTCAGTGATTTGAGGAATGTACATATTAAAACTTGTTGATTATCATGCGCAAACCTCATCCTATGGTATTTTTCAGTGGTCTTTGGACTTGTATGACTAGTTTTGCCGCCAGCCCCCACACACAGGGGACTAAGTTTTGAGCTACAGAAACTGTGATGTGCCATGTGATTTGGTGATTGCAACAAACAACATGTCTTTTGTATTGTAAGGTAAACCAACTGAAGCTATTAGTAAAAAAGCATGCGCATCTGAGAACACACAAGAGACAGAGAGAGAGTAGAGTAGAGAGAGGCGTAATTGATACATAGTGATGGGTCGGTTACAGATGTTCTCTTGAACAAATTTGAAAGCAGAAAAGGCCTTACCACTATGCTTTCAATGGCTAGCGTAACCTGAAAATATGATAGAAGGTTTGAGTAGGAGCGGTAGGTTAATAGTGTACATCTGCAAAACTTTTATCACCCAAGGAAAAAAGTTAAAGGTCTCAACACTGTAGAAGCAAGGGATTGTTTGAAAATTCATTGAAAGAGGTTGTTATGATGCTGGGAAAACTTCCAATTGGTTGTCGCAATTTCAACATGTATGGGTATCTAAGGGGGAAAAAAGAGATAAAAGCACTAAAAATAGTGTATTTTATAATACATTATCTGGATTGTCCATTTCTAGGTTCTTCAAATGGATAAATGTATGTTAGATTTACTCTATTTTTAGAGTTAAATTTTGTAAGTGAAGGTGAAAATAGATATTTAGGGCCTCCTAAGATTTTCCAACGCCAAAAATTGTATGTTCTAAAAAGGTTTAGAATTGCCCTTCTTTGAATCTTTAAGGTTGACATCTTGTACAAACTGCACCTGAATAATAATGGAAAAGTATAGAAAGAGGCTAGTTATGTTGTACAAACTGCACCTGAATAATAATGGAAAAGTATAGAAAGAAGCTAGTTATGTTTTAAAAAAGGGGGTCGCAATCACTCTTTTACTTCGAATTTCAAATCGGGTGGCAGACTTGTGACTCGAAGGTAAAAAAAAAAAAAGATAAAAAAGAGAAAAAATGTTGAACTTCGTGACATTAGCAAATTCAATTTGACATTTAATTGCTAATGGTAATAGTAACCTCCTTTTATGAAAGATAAATGGTGTTCTAATATAGAACCCATAAAGAGGGGTCTTGTGGAGAAAAAATAAAGGTTGAAAGTTGGTGTTGCGTTCCAGGGCAAAATCTGCTGGTGGGAAAACGCCCTTAAGGGGGATATTTCTGTCGCTCAAATTGCTTTCCAATGTTTCCTTGGGAAAGCAGCACAGCTGGGAAGTCGTTTTCTCCTATTTTCTCAGGTTTGTGGTCTTGAACATTCCCTTTCAAACCAATTTCTTTATCAAGCATGGCTTGCACATACCATAAAAAAACTCCTTGGCGCAACATGGTTACCATGGGAGGATTTTCGTGGAAGTTTGAGATCCTAGTATCCTTAGGTTTTTTTCTATAAACAAAAAAAAAATGAAAATTTAACATCTAAATATTTCCTTCCAAAAGTTGAACTACTCCTATTCAATCTTGGGATGAGATTTTTTTTTACGTGTGGTGTTTTTTTCTTCCTATTCTTTAATAATAATAATAACAATAATAATAATAATAATAATA